GTTAGACTTCAATAATACCAGTTACATGCATAATTAAATATAAGTACTTAAAAATACATGATGCATTAATATCATACTGAAGTTTAGGATAACCAGATTCTTTCATATTGCTATTGTTATTCTGTCATGGCATGACTCGTTCATATTTTTATTGTAGTATGAAAGAATCGGGTGGTGCTTAACTTCTTTTTAATAGTATTACTATATGCTTGGTATGCATAATTTCCATCTACTCCTGACCGACAGGGGTGAAAACAGTAGGTTACTTGGTCGCTATTGTAACAAGTATGTAGTTAGAATGTTTTAGACACTGTGCAAATGTCATTGCGCAAAGAAATATGAACTCTTTCATTCTTTCTAAGCTCTATTTGTAGTTGATGCGTTAAATGCGTTTGGTTATAGGGAAGAACGACAGACAATCTCAGGCTTTCTCATTGCATTTAAAACTCAACGGTTGGTATGCATGATCTAAATCTATTTCCTGTACAGCCCACATATACGTAAACTTCATTGATGTGGTCCGTCAGAACGATGTAAAAGCTGTGGACATGCCACTTGATCAAAGAAAGCTGAACTCTTTCAAGGTTTGTACACTATACTTGCAGTTGATGCGTTAGATTGTAAACAGCTCTGTACAACATGAAAAGCTGTGTCCCATGTGGTTACAGAAGTGGAATCAAACGCGACACTCTGGATTTGTCTCTGATTTTGTGCTCGCGTGGAAGAATCGTGGGATTATAAGGCTAACACATACTAGAAGCGATAGCGACCGACAGGTTAATATTCTGGGGAGTGTTTTCAGTCACTGCTTCGATTCAGACACACAATTCTCTTTCTCATTAGAGAATTCTAATCTATAAGAAAGGGGCTGCCATTTTTTTCACATATTTTTTAGGACATTGTCTGGCGAACATTTTTTATCCTCCCGTTTTTCAAACCGGCGATCAGCATGTCCATCCGTCCTCCACAAGTTTCCCGTATCCGGAGCAGAACTCCTAAACCGTTGAATATTTCTTGTTAAAACTTACAGATCAGTGGTCTCAAAGTGAACTGGCGCCTTTTGATGATTTGGGATTTTTTTATTATTATTTTTTTTTTATGACGACAAGTTGGACTTATACTGAAAAGGAGGGCTGTGCTCGTTACCGGAGCAGAACCCCCAAACCGTTGAATATTTCTTGATAAAACGTGCATAACAGATCAGTCTAGTTGTGAACTGGTGCCTTTGGTGATTTGGGATTTTGAAAACTACTGCAAAGCTTTTCTCTCTTCTGAAGGTTCAAAAGGCAATGAACCAAAAGTGGGGTAGCCAAAAGTAGCCAAACTCGAACACCAGACCGGTTGGATATGTTGTCTCCTGATGACTCTTTATTTGTACAATCAGAGGCCCAACATTTTTTTGGGGAAATTATCACGAAAAGGAAGATACAATCTTATATATATGCATGAAGATCTAAGGAAACCTCTTTAAGAGTCGAGTCAGGTGAACTTACTGATGAGCAAATCAGCGCCGAGGCTTCAAAATTATCGTCATGAAAGAAGAAGAAGGTATAACATGGTCATTATATTGTGCATTTTTCATCCTCCCGTTTCTGAGCGCTGTGGCATGTACACACAAAAATGGATGCCATAGAAGGAATATGTGTTATTTGTGGAATCTACTGTGTGCAAATCGCACTTCATTGATGACACTGACATTTCATTTCAACAAAATGTTTGAGTTAATATAATATACTCAATGAAACACTGGATACGTGGTGTATATTAGGAAGCAGCACAAGAATATCATCCAGATGGTAACATTTCGGTCGGCCCGATGACCTGGACCCGGTTATATCAAACTTTAATGATGCATTACCATGCCATGTCATTAACCTTCATTAACTAATGTATCATTAGGGTTTAATGTAGCCATTAGTTAATGAGGCTTTGATACAACCGGGTCCTGGAGATTGACACAGGAAGGAAGATACAGTGAAAACATGTCCGTCCGACAGTCACACAATCACATACCGACTAGAATTCCCTCTGGCCAAGACAGTGGGGTACTATGATAGGAATTAGTTCCGTTATATGGTCGAACATGGTTAACCGCCTCCTTGGTCAAGAGGGGGAGCGTCCGGCCGGAGAGCGGAAGGTCCGGGGTTCGATCCCCGGCCGCGTCATACCAAAAGACGTTAAAAGATGGTACTTGTTGTTACTCTGTCTGGCGCTCGGCATTAAGGGGCTAAAACAAGGACTGGTCGGCTCGGAGTCAGTATACTGTGTCTGAGTGAGGTGTTCATGTTAAACTGCGGCATGGTATCTCAGTGAGCTAGCACTATAAATCGGCATCAGTCCGGACTAGTACAAGCAGCCACACACACACGTGCATGCACGTCGCTATATAAGTGCAATAATCTGGGACGCGACGTTAAACCCCATTTCACCTCACCTCGAACATGGTTAAAAGAAGGAGTTAATGTCAAATGGGTTACGTGGCACTTAAGACAAGGCCATTGTAAGGACAAATGCAATAATTATTTTTAAATTCTTTTGCCATGTAATGTTGATTAATTCACAGGATTTAACAGCATTGAGATGACGAACTTAAATTAGGTCGCAATCTCCGTCTATTGGCTCCTGAGAACTCCGAGGGCCAAGTCCTTTTCCACACCGAAAGACAAGTGTGGTTCGTTCTAAGGTGTACATATTGGCCATGCACGTTGCTCGATAGGTACTCTCTTTTTACAGCAATGGATTTGAGAGCTTCTTATTCCCTTGACGCGCAAAGGTAGCTTTGTTTGTACACTCCAAAGAAAGAAGTGGATTTCATGCAAATGTTTCCGTCGATAATAATAGGTCATGTCCTTTGAGAATGCCCCTCTGTAACAGTATCTCGTGCATTCTCCGTGTATTGACTGGTTGTAGAGCAAGGTTATAACACAAGTAGAGTTCGTTACAAGCAAAATGTCGACCGGTGCAGGTAACATTTAATTTATGTTTTTAGCCTTTACCTACTTACGCGTTTAAGTATGCAGTGAAACCCTGACAAGTAGTAAATGAAAAGGTCATGTGAAAATCTCTACTCAACAGGTTTTCTTTAGTGCGACTTTTGAATCATCAGCTCTTGTTCTTTGATCATTGTCATAGATGTACATATATGAGATATGAGACACAAGTAATGATTAAAATAAGAGTCATGCGGCTTACAATATGTATTTCATGTTAACATATGATCTTGAATAATCATTTAAAACGTTTCATCATCTCTTCTCCAGATCATACCTTTGATGTATATCACCTTTTTACGCTGACAGCGAGATGAACTCAATGTCAACTCTTTGTGGTTTAATGATTAACAGGGCAGTTAAAGTCGGGACGGCGTAATTGTCTGTTAACAACTCAATTGAGTTGTGACGGCTCAGTCAATAAAAGTACTGTTATTCTACCTAAAAAGTCAAATTTACCATGCGACATCTCACTGGGGACCAAGGAAATGTATCCAGACGACAGGTTTTTCTACATAAAAGGTTCTACTGATCAGACATAAAATAATGGTAATTATATGCGAGAATGCCGGTACCAAGGACCGTATCTATAATACAGAGGTTTCCACATTTAAGGTTTTCTACTCAACGAGAATTCACTGTACATATCTAGCAACTCGTGAAGATACGGGGTAGAATAGGTCTTCAGCAACCGATGCTTGCCGTAAAAGGCGACTATGCTTGTCGTAAGAGGCGACTAACGGGATCGGGTGGTCAGGCTCGCTGACTTGGTTGATGCATGTCATCGATCCCAATTGTGTGGATCTATGCTCATGATATCAATCACTGGATTGTCTGGTCCGATTATTTTACAGACCGCCGTCATTTAGCTGGAATATTGCTGAGTGCGGCTCAAAACAACAAACAAACAAACAAAACAAATCCTTGCACACGAACTTTGTGTTTTGATGAAATAACTCCAGAAGAACAGAAACTGTGATGTCACACTGAATATATTATGAAGACCCATTATTGTATCACGACAGGTTAGATTATATTCATACAATATTTTCCAAAAGTGGCTCCCACAGGAGACTAAGTGAGACCAAGCGATATCTACATTGTAGATATCGCTGCAATGAAATTGCATCACAATGTTTTGCAGACCATTATGACGTCATTGATTACCATGACCATGACATTTGATTGTGACGTCATGGTAATCAATGACGTCATAATCAAATGAGATCACTAATTGCTCTGCTACTGAAGCTGTTAGCAAAAGTTGGAAAAATGATGTTGGATGATAAATAAAATCTCACCCTCGTGTCTTTTGATTTAAAATATATCAACACTCATTGATGTATTTGATATCAAAAGACACTCGGGTGAGATTCTACATATATATTTAGTAGAAGTGCGTTTGACAGCTTTTGATAAGAATATCGTTTTATACATGTACAAAAGTGTTTGTTTACTTGCCTGATAGTAAAGTTTGAAAAAATGTCATAGCTTTTTTACAAGTCCTGCATGAAACGACATGTGCCGTTATAATTGTTTTACAATTTCATGTTTTAGAATGTGTTATACAGGGCACAACGTGGCACTACCTTAAAAGTACAGTGTTATATTAAGTCAGTGGCAACGTTCAATATGTATTTAAAGGAACTTATTATAAATCATGCTGGACAAGTTCTGCCCGAAGATTTCTTCATAGAAATGGGAAGTCAATTTTTACTGTTGATGCGAGCTAAATTAACAATGTGCCGGTATTCATTCATCCTTATGTGTGTTCACTATTAAGTTCTCTCTTTTATTTTGGAAGCAAAATAGGCAATATTTTCAAACAACAACGTTTATTTTATGTATGCATGGTCATTTACCTTATAAATGTTGATATGTAAACAGAACGATCAATATTAACATTTGTAAAGTGTGTTTGTGAATTAATGCTTCATGCATTTAATAGTATGCAAATGAAATGTACATATTAAAGACTGATTCTGTTAAAACATATTTTTCTAATTGCAGATGCGATCGTTCTCTTTTGATATTGGACACGAATGAAATTGACAATTCACTGCGTCTGTGTGCCAGGATCCTATACATTATTGAAATAATCTCACTTCTGAAGCCAGGCCATCAGAGGACAACTTGTAAATGTATTGTGACAAAAGTTCCACATTTGAAATTCCCAGGGCATCGACTTGTGTTCCCAGTAAGTGATGCATCCTGTAGTGTTTAATAGTTGATATTGCTTATCGGCTATGGAATGTGTACATGATGTTATTCTTATGGATTGGGACATCACCATATTGAACATATACTTACGATAGATATGTAGTGTATGTCTCAAGTAGCCCAACTCTTACCATTGGAGCAAGGGCTGCTTTCCGTGTGTTATCGATCGGTCGACTGCAGCGGTCTACTTGCTGACGAGGTACTCGATGCACTTGCTATCTTACTACCGCGCTGGAGCAATTGTGAACCAAAGTTACTGAAATGAAAGCAAGATTGGGATTGATTCCTTGAAGGATGAACACCCTGGAGTGTTCTTTTAGTTATTCTCTGTGGAAACCTTGACGTTCGCGGCGATACTTGTACTCTTTCAAGGACAAGCAACTGGTACAATTGACGATCACTGAAAGCTGATGTAAGTTGTCAACTTTTATGAGTAACCTATTGTGTTTTGCGTTCATATTGACTCCCAATTCCGACTTTGTTATTCGCTTAAGAATGTCGATGACCACCTTTTGCTTTGGAATTTCAACAGTGTACAATAGCCACGAATAAAGAAACTTGATATTAAGAAGAGCACAAGAAATACTGGTTTCGTGTGTGGAATATGTTTAATGATTGAAAGTGCCTTTATATTGCCCAATCATGAATAATTCATCCATCAACGGCCTAAATGGTGAAGTGGAAGTGGAAAACAAGGCCTTATTATTGGCAGGGATTTACCTAAATAACTATTACCTGTGGGTCATTTTTGCCATTGGTTTTCCCGGAAACTGTGCCAGTGTTGTGACAATTATTCGCATGCAAAAGCTGACCACGTCGACATTTTATGTTGCCTTCTTAGCCGTAGCGGACAACTTGGCTATTGTTCAAAAGCTGCTGTACCTCCAACTTACATTACACGGGGTATGGATCGGATCCGTTGGATGTAAGATACTGAATTTCTTAACTTTGTTCCTGGTCACTTATTCCAACTGGATATTGGTAGCTATGGCAGTCGAGCGATTTGTAGCTGTGAAATATCCTTTGAAGATTAGTGTGTTTTGGAGCATAAAGCGGGCATATGTAAGTCTTATTATGCTGGGTGTGCTCATGTTCGGAGTGTATAGCCACCTTTTTTGGACCTTCACTTCAGGCAATGGAATAGATTGCGGGATGTTTATTGAATACGTTCAGTTTTACCGTGATATTTGGTATTGGATCAGTGCGGCTGTGTACTCCATTATACCTTGCATTCTTCTCCTTTCTTTGAATGTTCTCATCATACGGGCAATCAAGATCTCCCGACAGCAGCGCATTGAGATGTCTGTTGAGAGTGAAAAGGCACAGACAACGGGAAAAACAGTGCGCCAGGACAGACAAATAACTGTAATGTTAATGACCGTCACCTTTGTGTTTGTGATTTTAACGGTACCACGAACTATTTACGTTGTGGTGGATCTTTTCTGGACTGTTGAGTATGGTACACTGGAAGATGCTCAGAAATATCTCATTAATCAAGTGACATTTTTCCTGTGTGATTCCAACCATGCTATCAATTTCTACCTGTATTTTATCACTGGCCGTAAGTTCAGACGTCAGTTTCTGGACCTGTGCATGTGTCGGAAACGGAAACGACAAGCCCAGAACGTAACAAAGTGTCATTCAGTGTCATGTACAACTTCAGTGAAAGCTGAATCTCGAAACGGCAGCAGAGCAAATAGAAAATTTAAACCAGTAGCTATGTGAATTACTTTTTTGAAACGAAATAGGCATTAGATTTAGAATTAAAAATTAATCATTTGATCGAAAAACAGAATAAATCATTGCTTTCAAAATAGACATTTATGGGTTGAGAAAGTTGACTGATATGTACCATTGAAAGCATAATGACTCTTGATAATAATTATACAAATTTAATTGAAAAATGTGTCCTTGTTGGGCATGGTGTGTAATACATGTGTGACTAATACATTGTATGTTGCTGGGTGTTTTACTATTGTCAACTCCAATCAAATGTGATTGCTAGAATATTTTCGGTAGCACTGACCTGTATAGCTCACTACAGTATACGATATATTGAATAAAATATTTGCACAGCAAATACAGGCGTTCAAGCTTACATTCTCACCATAATAGAATGTGTACATGATTAAAAAAGTAGATGAGAAATAGTTGAAGTGAATACACACCACAGTCATACTAACGGCATGATATTTAATTTCATCTCTTGCCAAAAATCATGTCACTTTTTGAAAACAACACATGCCATAAAGCAATTAGTGACATTCGACTCATCTCAGTTGTTTCTTTGTTGTTTAACGCCGCATCAAGCAATATTGCAGCAATATAAAGGCTGTCTTATATAAAATCGAATCTGGAACAGATAATCTCCAGTGATGGACACCATGAACATTAATCCAAGCAGTTGGGATACGATGGAATCAACCAAGTCAGCGGGCCTAACCACCGTATCCCGTCTTACGACAAACATATTCGCCTTTTACGGCAAGCATTGGTTGATGAAGACCTATTCTACCCCGGATCTTAACGGGTCTTATGTTTCAATAAGACCTCGATTATCACTGACTGACAGGAATCCATATTGGAACTAGTTTGGTGCACGTGACTATCCCAGAGCACAACGAGGTCTCGTTGCGCTGGTTGAGCTGATATAACTGTTCAAATTATATCCTTTTGATTTTGTCTTCAAAATAAAGTGTATACAAGTAACTTTTTTCAGTTACGCATAGAATAATCTGTCTTTAAGAACGGTCGCCCTGTAAACGAACTAAACTGAGGACCAAAAGAAAGTACACCGAATTTGTGATTGAAAATTGAAAGAACCGTTGTTGAATTTGATTGTATCTATTTAACCATCACTCATTACTTCAACTGTTTGTAAAAAGAAATCTTTGGCTGGGTACCAAAATTCATAACTGAATAATAACTAAAATAAAATTTCGATATGAAATCATTTCGGTCAAGTTGGTCAAACATGGCGTGTTTATGTTCGTGTGCACTTGTGATCTGCTTGGATGATGTGACACCTCCGTTGGAAACGTCTAATTAGAAGACTGACTGAACCCACGATCAACGCATGAAGGCGATGGATACATGAAAAGGAACTTTCTTTGTCTACCCAAATGGATGAAAAATGAAAAAGGACGAAGTGCAAGTATGTATATTTTGGTTCTCTCTGTATTCAAATGATAATGATATTTAAAAAAACAACAACAACAACCGTATCCCCAGCTACTTGGAAAATAAATGTGCAGTGGTTGATGGGTATCTTTGCAGAATAAACATCTCCAATGCTTTGTACTTTTATCAAAGCTGGTCCAGACATCCGCCCCGACGAATTAAGATTGATATCTGTACAGATGTGGTACACACCTGTGAAGTACATTTATAATCGTTCGGTCGTTTGCAAACATAAAGTTTTCGAAATATGTTATGATTGTGATTCTGAATGCCCCTACATCTTAGCTGTTTCATATTAAAAAAGGAGTCTTTTCATTTAAACATTTCTGAAATTGCGGATAAGAATAGGTCCTCGGTACGTTATTCTTGTTGAAACTCTCCACAAGACTGTGTGACAAGAAGGACTACTACAACTGCCCCTTTAAAATCGAACGATATTAAAACACCCTCAACCGTTGGTATCCACGTTTCACAACTTTTGGGACACATTCGAGCGTGCTCTCTCTTGAAACGGCGTCATACGACTCTTGTTCAAAAGCTTCTTTTATCAGGGTTACAAAACAACTGTTGTAAAGCTTTCAAAAAGTTTTATTGTAGACATGCAGATGACATTTTCAATTTTCAATCAGTGACAAAAATGATGTTCGATGCAATTCCCTATTTCGATTTTTTTAATATCTCTACCTGATACTGATTCATAATCAACATATGCTCATGATACAGTAGAATCGTACAGTGGACTTTGCATTTAGCAGAGATTTCTTATGAATATTGAAAGGGTTTTGTCGCTTGTGATAACATATTTGGAAGTTATATTCAAGCAAACATGGACATCTGTGAGTAAGGTGACATAGGGTTCTAAGTCGCGTTCAAGCCTACTTCAGTTATATAGCAAAGTGCATGCACTTGTGTGTGTGAATGCTTGTCGTAGTCCGGACTTAAGGATACCCCACTCAAACACATTATACTCCGAGCAATCCAGTCCTTGTTTTATTCCCTTAATTCCGAGCGACAGGCAGGGTAACGTCTTTCAGCGTCGTTTGGTCTTTTGGTATGACTCGGTCAAGGGATCGAACTAAAGGCTTCCCGCAATCAAGACATACGTCGTCTCCACTGGACCATGGAGGCGATAAAATCCACCAAAAGTAGCAATTCGTGAAAATCAAGAGTGATCAAAGCAGGACGAAACAGATGAGTACATTGATCTATTTTGAAGATAAGTGGTTCACGGCTCTCCTTTACTCCTTTCCTGTTTGAAACGAGTATTGAATGGATGTGTGGAGCGAATCTCGCCCTTCAAGCAAGGAAACACTACTTATGTCACGAGGGATCCCATAGAAAACAATACACATACATCAGTTTACGCAAGCACTTCTTTGACAAACTGCCATTCTCGTGTTCTCAGATCGTCAACGTTGATTTAAAGCATGACCATCTCACTTTACAAATATGTTTATCGCATGACACGCTGGCCTTCGTTTCTCTGGAGAAATGGTTGAAGAGAATAAACAGTAATTTCAGGAGCAGTCGTAGCGCTCAGATGGTAATTGAGTTTTTTTTTAGTAGACCAGATCTCTAAAACATTTGTGTATGGACATTTCCATCCTCGCTCAACATTAGCCGCTGTAAAGGGAAAGCTGTATTTGCGTTAGTGGTGAGTTGTAAACGTTGTTTATTATCAACAAGTGTAAGCATTTTAAACACAATGGTCTAACGATTTTGCGTTTTGATTGGCCCGACAGAGGTATCGACATTACACCTCGGTACGTTTTGGGCCGCATCAGCAAACATTCAATAATCGTATGCACAAGCTTCTTTCTCTTTGTACACAAATATAATGAATGCCTTCTTCCCTCGATAACATTTCCGTAGATTATGAGTTGGGGAGTTGCAACGACGTGCTTCAGGACTATCATCATTACAGATTTTCTCTGTGATGGCCAATACAATATTGACTGCATGCCCATCGTCGTGTTCTGTTAACATCAGACATTGTTGCTTCCGATAATGACACTCAGATGCCATATTAAAACGAAATACGCTGACATTTTATTATGAACTTAAATTATAATTAGATATTACGTCAGAACGAAGTGATTCCACAAAACACGAGATCATTTCGTAAAAGCACATTATTGTGTGGCGGAGTAAACATTGCAGTTGTGACCATGTAATGGTCATGGAACAGTGGGGGTAACCTAGGGGTCAAAACGAGATGCACTTTATGTCTGCGTCCTTCTTTAACTAATGTTTATGAAGGTGTCTCAATGCTTATTGCTTATCTTATTAGAAGCGATTCTGTGTATCGGGTGGACAGGCTCGGTGAATTGAATGAAAATATTGCCTAGCGCGGCGATAAACAAGAAACAAACCTGTGTTCTATTCCCCACATGTTGAAGCCGATTCGTGGTGTCCCCTAATGTAATATTGCTTGAATATGCCTTCACACAGCGTCAGACCAAACTGTCTGTACATCCAGTTTGTGAATATCAACTACTGCACACGTACATGTAGGTCTGTGAAATTACATGATCAACCTATAGCTATAGTCTCTGAAGGCTATATACATTTAACATGAACATAATAACCTCTGTATTTGAAAAGGGATGTAATATGTGCAGAACTTCCACAGCATAAAGGCATCTTGCGAAACATCAACTATTTCCTTCTATGAATGAAAGCAATATGAATGTAGCAGTGCAGGGTAGTAGAAGACAACAGGCATGTAGGGCAGCAGCTTCAAGTTTAATAACTACTTCGTATGCAGATGAATTGTATGCAAACACCAACAGTTCTGTGGAAACAAATTTTCTTACATACCTGTGGGTGAGAAACCAATTTGAAATAACTGATATAAAAACCGTAAGTATTAGATCGAATTCCGTATCCACTGGCATCTCCATGGTGATGACCAGAGGTCAGATGTGACGAACTATGTTCCTGATTATAATTCATTGTATGCAATAAAAGACTCAGAATTAATAAATTCTGCTACCGTATTTGTTGCAGTGTAGGCCAAGTGAGGACTTCAAAATGGTATCAACCATCAATAATATCTGTGAAAACGATTATATGAAGATCGACGGTGAAGACAAAAGGCGGGTATATCCAATGTGACCACCCTTGAAATATACAAAATGTACAGCATTCGTACTTATACTGGGGTGATGCGACTATCGTCTTGCTAAAGTACCTGAGACGGTAATGTCGGTGCCTATCCATTGTGAAGTCAATTTGCCTAGTTATTTGATTGATGAACTGATGACTTTATTACTGTTGAACATGATGACTCTAAATATAAAGATCCACCCCAGCACCTATATGATTATTCAGATATTGACAAATTCGTACATGAGAACCAGAGTCAAAACACACTACTTAAAACAATGTACAAAATGAAACGTTTGTAGGGGTTCATGAGTACAAATGGCGACACACGTCCGATTGAATCCATCCCACCAGCAGAACTTTTTATCTACATTATTATTAGTCTCAGGAAGGAAGATGGTTGCAATATTACGAACCATCTACAGTTCGCGGCATGTCAAGTTTTGACAGACATCTGAAGTCACTGCACTACCGTTCATTTCTGATCAATGATCGTGAATTGAAAAGCTTACCACTGTCTTAAAAAAACCCGAAACGTTCTAAAGATGGAAGATATGAGTATCCAACCTCGTCGTGCTGAATCTCTCATTGATGATGACATTTAAAAAATGTATAAAACAAACCAGCTTGGTCCTGGGGATCCTGAATCAAGTTTTGGGTACCGTTGTGTCAAAACCCCACACTGATAATGACATTAACTGGGAAGATGTTGCACTTGAAATGTTGACTGAATCAGAAGGTGGAGAATTTCTTCAGTTCACAGAGAGGCAGTCATGTCAACATGCCATGGTGCA